ACAGCGTTTGTCTGAAGACAGTTTCCGTTGTCACGTGGCCAGCGACGTGGCCAGCGCGACTTAGACCCGGGACACTGTTTATCTTCCCACCGAAATGGTACCTATTTATCTACTCGCATTTACATGCTTTCAAACTGCTAGGTTGGCAAGGAGCTGGGACAAAGCGATGGGAGCTCACTCCGTCGCATGGATTCGATCTTACGACTGCTGGTCTTCTGACCCTGCAGCACACAAAGGCTTCTGCGGTTTAGCCCGCAGCGCCACCACGTCCCTTCACTGATTCAATAGTCCTAAACTAATTCATACTAGCGAAATTAGTTTTAAGCCCAAACAGTGCAAGCTACGTGCTCAGTATGAGTGTCCCAATGAAGTCCTGGCAGATAAGGCAGGTGTAAAGAAAGGAGCAAGTATGAGGACTGACAGAGCTGAGAACCTAGAGAAAAGCAAGGAGGGCCAGGAAACAAACTGCAAACAGGAAGTGGATTGTCTGGAATCCCAGTGATGCAGGAGAAATTAAATCCTTCATGTCATATCTATATGCTTTTCTCACAGGACAAACATGAATATTGGGGAGAGAACTTAATTTTTTCATGTTGAAAAAATGAGGTGAGTCTACTTGTTACCGAACAATGAATCTAGGTAAGTTTCAAACCTTCCCCATTGTAATGGCTAGGTAAAGGTTCCCCTTGACAACTGTCCAGTCGTGTCCAACTCTAGGGGGCAGTGCTCATCCCCTTTTCCAACCAATGGAGCTAGCGTTTGTCTGTAGACAGTTTCTGTGGTCACGTGGCCAGCGCAACTAGACACGGAACTCTGTTACCTTCCCACTGTGGTGGTACCTATTTATCTACTCACATTTTTACATGCTTTCAAACTGCTAGGGTGACAGGAGGTGGGACAAGCGACGGAAGCTCACACCATCACGTGGATTCAAACTGCTGATCTTGTGACCTTGCAGCCCAGAGGGTTTTTGCTGTTTAACCCGCAGCGCCACCACATCCCTGGCATTGTTATGGCTACCTGCTCTTAATTACTTTTTAAAATATGGAAGGGCCATGACAGGTCTTCTGCTACCTCATCTGGACTCTGCTGTGCCTGTATTTTGCAAACCAAAAGAAGGCAAACAGAACAGGAAAAAAACAGAGGAAAGCAAGGAGGAGTAGAATAAAGAGCAAGTAAGATCATAAGCAAGGGACAGATCTAAGCTCCATAGGAAGAAAGCAACGCAAGGAAACAACCTGGTTGAGACTTTTTAGAGGCCCACAGGTTTCCAAAAAGATTATATTCAGGTAACAGGCCTTCAGACACCGGCTGCAAGATTCTGGGAGTAGACGTACAAACAAAACAAAACAAAACCCTTTCCCAAGCTCTACTTCAGAAAGTCCAGCACAGTATCCCCCTTCCCAGGAGAAGCATTTATTGCGGAAGCAACCAATGATACAAGTTTCTCTGAGTTGCCCCTAATCATTAGGACCTGCTTAAGCTAACAATTCACAAATAGACCATCTTCATTAATGTACAGAAATTAGTAAAAAAAAGAACGAAAGAACGAAAGAAAGAAAGAAAGAAAGAAAAAGAAAAAGAAAAAGAATAAGTCAAAACTTTCTCACCCCTCATCCTAACTGTGCCGTAAGCTAATGGTTGTCAGGTTCTCTCTGAGCCATCCCAAAACAGCAACTTTGTCTGCTAAGTAGGTGGCAAATACATCTCAGCGGACAGGGCTTATCTCCAGCTCTGGGTGAAAACAGCATGGACTTACCAGGCTATTCGCCACCCAGAATAGCTCCAGCAGATGACACTTTGCAGATGCTATGGCAGCCGAGAAAACAAAGCTCTCTTTGCTGCTGCTGCTGCTGCTGCAGCCGCCGCCATAACAGCCCCATTTCTTAAAATTAGATCAGCGCCACAATCAGTTCACTTTAGCTCCAGTCCAGCAACACTTGTACTCTAATTAACCTTCCCACTTCAGCGGTGTCAGATCCTCGGTAATGCAAGGAAATCAAGTTTGAAAAGCCAACCAGAAAGAGGGAACCACCCTGAGAAATGGGAACCACAGAAAATATTATTCTAAATCAAGTTGAAAACAGCACAAGCGTCTTCAGCAAGGCCAATGAACATGCCAACTGGGAGATCCTGAGAGATGCCATCTAAGAGTTTGCATGCTCTTGTGCTTGTTTGGTGTAAAACTTAAATATACGGCTTGAAACCAGTGTGTGCCAGTTGTTTGGGGATGAACTCTTTCCACCTGAGATGCAAGTGGAGGTTTAGTTATTGGAAATGATGTAGGAATAAAAGAAATAACAGACCCTTTTCAGACTCATGATTCTGATGTATTTCAGGGCCTCCTCCCTAGGCAACAGTCCCACTGTGGATGTTTTCAATTAACTTTTTGTTAAATCATGGGAAACTCAGCCACTGGTCTTCTGCTATATTTTGCCCAGATGTAGCTAAGAGGAAAAAGTTGGTTATGCCTTATGAAAAGGCAAGCACAAAAACGAGGTCTAGAAGAGGCCATATATTAATGTTATTTAAAAAGGGGGGGACTTGGGTCACACCCAGTGAGGACAGGCACAACAAAAAGTCAGTGAATACCTTTTGGATGCCTTGGGTTAGTTTAGGTATGTGTAGTGCAATATACACACACTTTTGTAAGGCTTCTAACAGCCCCCCATTACACATTTCACCACTGGTGAGTACAGAAAATTCAGAGGAAGCTCATCTTAAGCAACCTAGAGTGGTCTGGTAGTCCAGATAGGCGGGATATAAATCAAATAAATAAATAAATAAATTAGAGACAGGTGGCAACAAACCCAAGAAGAGCATGTACTCTGTGAAACAGCTTGTGAAGGGGAAAGGATCTAGCAGCCTAATGGGAAAGGACGCTGGAGACAACCTACAGGAATGAAGCTGTTTGGCATTTGCAGCTTACCTACTTACGGAAGCTAAAAGATATTAGGGAACAGGAGCAATAAAATATGAGGCATGGTTACCAGACTGTAGTCTGTGTCTTCCCTGAGTCCCCTTAAAAGGAGCAGGAGGATGAAAATAGGTAAGGGTGGTAAGCTGAGATGTTTGTATATTTGTCCTTTTTCTTAGCATTTTTGGCTGTGTGATGTAGGTCACTCTGAGCTATGTCTACACTGTAAACATGTGCATAACCATACAGTATTGTATATTTATTTATTTATTTATTTATTTGTTTGTTTGTTTGTTTGTTTATACTCCGCCCATCTAGACCGAAGTCTACTCTGGGCAGCTAACAACAGTACAACTAATAACAATATAAAACAGAACAACAATAATACAAGATATGGCAATGAATAAATTAAGTATTGACAGGAGGGAAGGCCTGCCTAAAGAGCCAGGTCTTGAGTTTGCTCTTAAAAACACCCAGCGAGGGGGCCAGATGAATTTCCAAGGGGAGATTGCTGTTACAATACTTTCTTGATTTTTAAGCAATAATCCCCAAAGGTGAATGTTTCATTATGACAGCTTACTAAGTAAGGCTTATTGAAAAGTTTTCCACAATGACCTCAAAGATGTGTCTCCTGGACGGCTACTCTCTAGCTGCCCCCACCATTACCACTTGAAGCAACTTTGAAAAAGGAAGGTTTGGTTACATCAGGAATGTGCCATCTCCCTACCAATATTCTCCAGCTATACAGGGATAATGGGTAGCAGCTAAGTTACTCCACAACTGTAGAGGCCATAATCTTTGGGGGGAAACTAAGCCTTCTGAGGTGTGGTGTTGGAGAGGTTGTATTTCTAACCTAGAGTTCTATGTTGTTTTCAAAATGGGAAATATATCTTTTATAAAACAAAATTATACCGTTGTCACAAAGATATCTGCATAGCTAACTGAATAGTTTAACTGGCTAATTCTCTACAAACTAGGTCCACATGAACAAGTTTAGCAGTAGAAATGCAAAAAGAGTGCTCCCAGTGACAAATAAAAGGGGCACATAGACAGGGAAAAACTGTGCGTGTGTGTGTGTTGAACAGACTCCTGGTCAAACTGGCTCCACAGGCAACACCCGCTTGCTTCAAAATGAAGATGCTGTTATTAAAAGAACCACCTCGAAGGATCTGAGAGCGAGGTGTACAGAAAGGGTCAGAAAACAGAGGGTTCTCTGATAAGCAATTGTTAACATGATCCATATGGTACACAAGTTGCCTTTTTGTTTAATCAAAATGATAATGGCAAAAGGAAAGAATGCAGGGAAAAGAGAAAGGGGGGGTTGTCCTAAAAAGAGAATAGAAGCCAAGACAAAGCCCGCTAGTTAAAGCGTTCTCCAGAGCCAAGTTAAAAGAAAACTCATTGTGAAAGGACCTGCAGCTTTCTGATTCTTTGCAGCTTAAGCTGCACAAACTGTGCCCACCCCACCCCCCACATCCCACTTGCTGGCACATCTGAGCCCCAGAAAACCAAGATGCAGTTTTCCCAAGCTAAAACAATCCTGACATTATTTTTTGTTGGAGGGAACCAGCTATGGAAGATGAATCAAATGCAAATAATCAAGAGCAAGTTTTAATGTACAATCCCAGACCACGCATGCTCTAAAAACACTTGTAGACCTTTTGTAAATTGGTTCGTTTGGGGTAAAAAGCAATGTTAAGAAGGAATTATGCGGGGGGGGGAGGAAGCATTTATTCACTTCAAACCGTAAACAGTTACAGGGCCCATTTCTTTTCTAACCTTGTGTGGTTGTTCCCTCCAAGCACTACTTGAGCAAGAAGGAAGCTTTCAAAGCTTTCAACAGAATATTAAGTATGCTTGCTCATAAGTAAGTGCAACTGAGATCAACAGGACTTACTCTCAAGTAAGTGTGCAATAGGTCTTAAAGCACTTCAATTTATTAATCATCTGCTTTTAAACAAACTGGCTAACTTTGAATTTGCATCTTGCCCAAACATCAACACAGGTATCTGAAGGAAGTGCAAGATAATCCAACTGACAGTGCTATCCTATTCATATCTACTCAAAATAAAGCCTCACTTACTTCAACGGGGACCTACTTCCAATGGCCCTGTATAGGATTGCATCCTTAAGAAGCAACGGGTTTCACCCATCAGCAGATCATCTTTATTTTTTCATTCCCTGCTATAGGAAGATACCAGAAGCAACACAGCATCAAGAAACAAGCAAGCGTATCCTCAGTTCACAACCTCACTGACTACAGTTGGTCCCACCAGTTAATCAACTAAAACCTTCATTGATCAATCTACCAATTACCCCAATTAAAGCTTACAGCCTCAGTTTTAAACTACTCACTAGCTAAAAGAAAGCAGCCATTCAAAGAACATTCTATGTATTGGGACCTTCCATGCTGATTGAATAGCAGCAATTTGGAAATCCATGGACAATTAACCAAAAATAAGCAACACAGACCATTTGCAATCAGTATATTTGTACTGTATCAGCCTAGGTAGATATCAGCACTTCCCAAACAGACGACAAAAGGTTATGGCTTGGGTTTCCCGAAATGCACACAGGCATCTCAGGCTCAATCTTACTTAACACTGCTATACGCATTCACACTTACTCTGTATTCCATTCATACTCCATTCATTCTGAAAACAAAACCAAGCTATGATGTTCCTTGTCACCTTAAAAATCAGCTTAGTGACTGAAAAAAGAAATCTCAACACTTTAAACACTCACACCCATTGTTTTGGAGACCACTTTCCCTTCACAAATATACACATGAAACTGGAACAACGCCTGGGCTTTAAATACAGCCCTATGACCCAGAGGCTGTGAACAAACCTCAGGCTCCAGTAAACCTTCCCAGAGACCAAAACGGAACAATTATGGACATATTTGGCTGAAATACGACAAAAGAAAGGAATGATTCTAGAGGTCTGCTCTGTCCTTCATCCTTCCTGGATTTTAAGGGCAGATGAAATAACTGTGAAGACCATCCGTCCTGACCTAACACAAAGAGTCTGAATTTCCTCAGAGAAGCTAAGCTATGCAGCAGAGTACTGCTAAGGCACACTCTGCATTTTTAAACATAGGCTGTTTTGATTTAGAAGGCAAATGGAAGAGAATATACCAAATAAAGCAATTAATTGTTCTTTAAATGTGGTTTTTATAAATAAGTAAACAAACATACAAGCAAACAAACGTGTTCAATAATTCGGCCTATTAGCTTCCAGTGTTTTAAGAATGTTCAGAGTTTTTAGCCATGTAAATCTGTTGCAGGAAACACACGCAGGTGTTCTGTGATATTTCTGAGGAGTAACAAGTTTTCTTCAGCCTAAGCTTTCGGATGCCTCTGAGGAAATGAGCTACAGCCCATTTATTGCATTTCACAGACTTCAGACGCCTCTGAAGAAGTGGCTTGAGCCCACTTCTTGTGTCAAATAAGATGCTAGTCTTTAAGGTGCCACAAGATGTCTTGTGTTGCTTATGGCCAGTCCTGGCACACCTGTTTTTTCTATTCAGCTAGAGGAAGGAATAGCCTGAATGACAGGGAACAGGCCACACCCCTTAAAGCAAAGGTGGGGAACTCCTGGCCCTCCAGGTGCTCATGGGCTCCTACTCTGGTCATATCTCTGCAGCAAATGGCATGATGGTAATTGGAGTTCAGCAAAATCTGGAGGACAACCTATTCTCCTAACCTGTCATAAAGGATATTTTTGCTTCAGGAAGAGTACAAGAGTGACCAAATTCTTAATCTGAGGTAAGGTCAGAATCAAAGTCCTAGGCATGTCATGCCTCTTCAATTCACTGCACTGTCAAAGCCATACTATTGATAAAAGGTCCAGGAATGAACAGATATTAATCAGTGCAAACCGTCTTTTTGTTTAAAAATTCAAACAGATCTTCCCCCCCTCCCTTCAAATGCATCTGCTACTCTGCAGCCTGCAGGATGAGAGGGAGTGTATGTGTCTGCACATACTGGGTCTATGAGGCCCTCAAGATCAAATTCTTGAAATGATGCAGCAAGACTGGAAATCAGCAACATAACTCCATTCCTGACCAGAGATCAGAAAGCACCCCTCCATGTTCCCTCCCCCCCACCTCCATTCCTGCCTGGGATTGCATTTCTAGAGTGTGCAAAATAATGTCATGGATGATGGGAGAGACGCTGCCTCAAACTGACATTGTTTGAAGCCACTCTGCGTGCTCCTTGCAAGTTTGGCTAATTGACAGCTCACTAAACCCACAACCTGAGGGGATTTTCAAAGGCAATCAATAGGAAATGCATGGGTTAGCGAGGGGGGGGCTCCCACTTTTAAACACCCCCTCTCCTCCCCCTCCTCCCTATGCCTGCAAGATAGAGAGCCTGGACAGTGGCAAAGAAAAGGGAACAGCCACTGCCACGCTGAATCAAAATTCCTCAAGAGACGGCTGCTTCTCTCACCCCAGGGGTCACTGCAGACCCAGCACACAAAACAAAGGGCCCTGGCTTCTGGTTGCCCCCAAATATGCCACTGTTCAGTCCACGATCCCCCAACTGCTGTGCAAGAAGAGGTGAAAACACAAGCCTGCTTCTGTGTATGAAACATATTTTTAATTATTATTTCACTTACACACAGAACCAGATCGTCCTTTCTCATTGGTCCCCTTTACATGCCCCCAGTCCTCCTCACCAAGAGGGAATACAGCTCCCGTTCACTGATGTGCGGTGCCCTCCTCGCTATCTACCTGTGCAGGTGTGTGTGTGTGTGTGTGTGTGTGTTACACACACGCACGCACACAGAGACCAATAGACCGTTTCTTCAAATCTGCTTCTCCTTCTCCCAGAGACACCCAGAAATCTCCCAGGCCCCTGGCGCTTGAAAGCCTTTCCTCAAAGCACCAGCCAAGCTTCCTCCCCAAGCCCGGGAGCCCTTTTTGCTCCTCCGCGCAGGGTTTCTGCCCGACCAGCGTGTCCCTCCGTCTCTCTCTCTTTCTCTCTCTCTCCCGGGAGGACACCCCCCCCGGCAGCTTCCGCGGGCTCCCCAACATCGGGGGTCCTCCTCCTCCTCCTCCTGCCCAGGCTGACGCAGCAGGGACTGGCACTGGGGAGGCAGAGGGCCGGCTAGGCGGAGGGGGTCCCGCCCTGTGGGGCTCCAGGGGACTGGGATGTTTCGCCTCAGGCACGGTCCTCCAAAGTAACGGCGGTGCTTGGAGACACCCGCGCCCACTTTTCGACAGGCACCCACTCCCCTGCAACGGGCACCGAGGAGCAGCTCCCGAGGTCTTCCGCACCCTCCAATTTCCCTTTCCCTCCTCCCCCCCCCGGCGTGATCTCTCCCCAGACAACGCACCCCGCCCCAAATATGCGCTCCCCGGTGTTTCCACTGCGCCGCGGTCAAGCCCTCCCAGGTCCCCTGCCATCAGCCCCCCCCTCAGGCCCTGAGCGGCAGCCGCACCAGCCCCCCCTTGCAAACCGCACAAATCCCACCCACTCCCGTGTGTGGGGGGGGGTGCGCCCCCTCCCCGATCCCAAACAAAACCGTCTCGCCACCCACCAACCTACCGCCACCCTCCCGGGAAAGCAGGAGCGCCCCTGGCTTGCGCCCCGCTGGGGCCGGACCCAGGCAGGGACCCGGGCGGGCGCCTTACGACACCCCCCGCCCCCGCGCGCGCATCTCCAGCTGCCCGTCCACAACTTGCGCCAGTCAAAGCCAGCCCCGAAGATCGCTCCCGGAGCCTCCAGGGCGACCTCGCCCTCCCTCCTCGGACAACTCCAAAGTCCAAGGGATCCCGTCCGGAGCGGGCCCCCCTCCCTCTGCTCCGAGGCCGGCGCGCCTCCTCCCCCGGCCGTGGCCACCCC